ATTTCTATAGCTTCCCCTGATTTTCCATTTCCTACATAAATTTAACACACTTTGGTGTAAAAGAGACCGCAGTAAGAAGAATCAAGAAATGTCAGTTATGAATACTATCTCTGGTCTTAATAAATTCAAGAATCTTATGTAGGTTACTTTGATTTTCTAGCTGCAGAAATTGGGGAAGAAAGTTTAAGTATTTTGCTCCCAAATCTGATGTAATCATCCAAATGTAAGTTCATTGGAAGAAAGTCTCTATGCATCTTGTACAGCATGAACATCACCTTAATAATAACTTCAAGGCTATGCAAGGCCTACTTGGTCTATGTTATTAAAGCTATATAGTAAATAAATTCAAACATCTACAAATATGAATGGGAAATTGAAATCCCACAAGTTTAAATGACAAGCCAAGTGAAAAGTCAATTTAATTTTCCAAAACCAAAATTTTAATATTGCCATGTGGAGCTCTCAGCACAGCAAGCAAATTTTAAATAGATGCAAAACACCAACGGGCTGAAGCAACAGACAAAGCCAGCAGACTGGAACTTCAGCATTCCTAAGTGATTAATACTGACCATTAAGATTAAAGTGACCTTGTTACACAAATGGAAACAAGGACAGAAAACAGCACGTTTGAAAGCCAACACTACCCAGTGAGTAATAACACCCACCACAAAAGTTTCAGATTCTTGCATCTTACCAGAAACTGTCCTCTATGCAGAATTTTTCACATTTCAAAAGTAAACTGTTGAAGCATAAGAAAATCCTCAGATACAGTATCACCAGCTAGTTCTAGACTAATAATATGTAATTATGAAAGTTAATTATTATACTGATCTCATCAACATCTGTTTTCATCTACAACTAGTTCTTATATGTTGAAACCATACACTCACTGGAACCAGTGTTACAGTATATCCACCAATCTCTCGTCTCGGATTTATTCCATCTTTCCACCAATCTCACCTATCATTTCCATTTATTATTTCTGAAATATAAGCATACTGTGAGCTGCAAAGCAGGCACAGATTTTCACGAACAAAAGAACCTAATTACTGCTTCTAAGCACCAACTCATTCATGCAGACACCTAACCCCCAGGTCTTTTCAGATGAGGGGGCAGATGGCCCACAGCTATGAACTATCGGGTATTTAAAGATGAAATTGCAGACAACATTCTTTGCTATACTGTCACTTAATCTGAGGCTAAGAAAAGTGTAAACCAGTGTGATAAACTGCTGAATACACATGCTTTCACTTTGCCCACTGCAGCCAAGATGAACCTGTCTGACAAACACTCCTTACCTATCACTGAATGAATGTCATTGAGTCAGCATAGCTAATGTTCAAAACAACAAAAAGAAAGCAACAAAAAAATAAAAACCCACAACCCCAAACCATCCAAAAGTGGCTTGGGGCATGCTGACTAGCACTTCCAGGTCTCTTTTTTCCAACATAAAGAAGAACATTTTTCCCTCTCTTTGCAGTTGTCTAACACCAACACAAATAATAGCACAAGTGAGCCTAACGTGTCCAAGATTCCTAACTCAGCTAGGCTGGGTTTGCAGCACAGCCTCAGAGACACAGCCTTGAGGAAAGCTAAGCCCACCCTGGTAAACACATCAAGCACAGCCACATAAGGAGCGTTACTAGAAGAACTTTCCCTAGCTGAGAAACAGGTTGACATAGATCCAATAGCCATGATTTCTTAAGGCTCTGTACTGTTGCTGAGCATTAGCCTGTTTCTCACAGTGTTACATATTTTTGAGCCAAATGCTGGCTAGGGTTTCCACAAGCACCTGAGGGGAGGGCTGTGACCCCTTCCTCCTTTGCCAGAGGGGCAACTGCCATCTCCAGCATTACTGTTTCACAGCTACACATGCACTAGCTTGAAAAACAGAGAGGGAACCTGGGTTCTGCTGGAAAAGTGGGGAGTCTTTGCTGTTCCCACCTCAGTGGCCAGTACCAAAGGCTCACAGACAGGCTGCCTGTGGCCAAGTCTACCCCAGCAAGCTAAGCAGGGCCAGTAGAGCATTTCACAGAAATTCACACCATTATGTTATTAGTACAATCTTAGGATGATCCAGTACCTGGATGAGCCTACACCCACACTGGTACTCTGACAAAAGGATGGCTGGGGTTAATACAGGCCAGCGACCATCCCCAGGAGGCAGTTTGGATGTGGCTTCCCAATTCTTGAGGGGTGAAGGAAGAAAGAAAGGAAGCATTTAACTGAAAGGAGTTGAGTCACAACATGCCAGTTGGCCTCAGACCAAATGGCCTGCTCAGTTCATTAGTAGCCTGCAAGTCCTTCCGAGGTTGGTCACAACCATGGCAACTTAAGAAGTCAGAATTAAAACCAAAGGGAAGAAGAGAGCATGAGATTGTTCAGCATACACCTTTCCCTCAGTTTCAGGCTAACGAAGATGAAGATTAACTGATATAGGCTACAGAAAGAAAATTTAGTGTCTGCTTCAGACTCATTCATTGTCTTTTAACCCACCTTTACTGTCACTCATAAAACTTCCACCCTAGAAATCTGAGGAATCCACTGCTGAATTTAAGCCCTTAAGCAATTCAAAGAGCATATGGGAGTTGAGATGATATATGGTTTTAATTTTATTTTGCAAGACCTACACTTAGGCTTTTTTAAATGCTGACTTACTCGAGAAAACTTTGAAGTAGAATGTAAGTGGCAATGAAGCAATGCGACTCTTTGCCACTTCACTGCTCTTCACACCAAGCTATCCCAGTAATGCAACACCAAAGGGACACAGGTAAATCACGGAATTTATGTGTTCAAAGGACTCGTCAGGCACAAAGTTTGAAATGCAACGCGCTTCCAGAAATAGATTGTATTGTTTCTTTTGTTCTCAAGAGACTTGACAGATACCTTATGTGAGCTTCCTCTTGGTGGGTACTTTGTGTCCTGAACATTCCCAGCACTGAAAAAGCTCAGGTCATACTGGGCAGCTGAAGTGAACAGGACTAAACCTCCCCAAGGAATCACTGCCTCCTACAGGCACTGGTCCATGTCTCTGGCAACTCGGAGGACACAGAAGTTGCTTTTCAGCAGCCATGACATTCTAATCATTCTAATTTTATAAAGCGTGGCATTTTCAACAACAGATTTTCCAGTTCAACCATGCCTTGTGTCTGCATGCAGCCCTCTTAAATGGAGTGATATTCTTATGAGAATTTTAGCATATTTTAAGTTATCGTACACTTGGTATTATTTCATGAACAGTCCCCACAAACACTTTCACACAATATTGCAGAGACCTTAAGTAAGGATAAAGGAAGCAATGTACTCAAAATGCTCTACTTGACTTCAGAAAACCCCAATCTTATTCTGCACTTTTACACTGAGAGGCATTTCAGAATCCACCCCTGCTTTGGTGATCAGGTCTGCACTTACTGTGCGTTTTATAACATTATGTTTTAGAAACACCAAGCTTTGCTGAATCCATGGTACAAACCACATGTAGGTTCAGGTAACATCTACTCTTACACATGTCTGTTGTGATGAAATCCAAAACAGCAGAATTCCTATTAATATCAATGAAACGAGTCACAGACCTACACACAGATGTGTCCAGCATTCAGTCACTGCCATATGCCAGCTTGTAAATCCACAGTCACATTCAGGATGATATCACAATCTGGTTTGTGCACCCTAAATTCGAAACGGGGAGGGAGGGGGATGGGGAGGGAAGCAAAAAAAGAGCCATTCACTGATTATACCGGCCCCTGTTTTCTGCGAAGACCTGAAGAGTACTTGAAGATAAGCAACAGGCATGTTCCTGAAGCACGCACAGAAACATCTAATGATCCCTGCTTAATGACACTTCAGTATCAGTGATGTGAGGGTCCTCCCCGCATTCCTTTATACAAAGTAAAACTGAACTTCAGTGACTTTTGAAGTTAACAGGAGTCTTCCCACTAACTTAAGTGAACTCTGGACAAGGCTCTACAGCATCACTTCCTATTTTACACGATTACCACACTTGGGTCTTTCCAACTGATTTCTGTTCCTCCCAACATTTATGTCAGGTTGAAAGATGTTTGGTTTTTTGTTTGGTTTTTTTTTTTTTATTTTTACCCTTACATAAAGGCAGACTAACCAGCTCCCATATTGGTCTAATTTCTCCATCCCGACACACATTTGACTGCCACAGCTGCCCCCATGCTGCGACTTCTGAATACATCTTTGAATCCATCTTTCAGACTACAGCCTTGCAACAATGCTCCTTTTCAATGCCCATCAGCACCTACTCAGCAGGGCTGCCCTCCAGCCCTGGCAAACCCTCACCATCTCTCCACAAAGCCCGGTATTTACCAGCCAGGGAGCGAAACACCGCTCTCCCACCCCTGATCTTCGCTTCGAGTCGCGAGTTCTTCGTGTCTGCGGATCTGGACAAATGCTGAGGCGGTGAATACTCCCAGGCTTCAGGCCAGCTTCGCTCGAAAAAACCTCAGCTCGCTATCACACTGCGTACCGCTGCAGCAAAGCCCTCTCTCCCCCCGCTGCCGTGGGACCCTGCTCCCAGAACACGCGGGTCGTGGGGCGGCTCTCGGGAGGAGCCAGCGTCCCTCGCCCCGCTGCTCGGTGGGAAAGCTCTTTCCCGGCGTGCCAAAGATAAACGCCGGCTCTTTAGCTCCAACGGTGGGAACTGCGCCCTCCGTGCCTCTACCCCGGCTTGGCCGGCCAGAGGTGCCCGAGCCCCGGCTACCTGCGCTGCGCTGAGGCAGGACGGCCCTCCCTCCCGCTGGAGAGCGAGAGAAGACGGCCGGAGGAGCTGAGGCATCCGCTTCCCGCCTTCCCGACACGGCAATGCCTACGGCTCCCCGCAAAGCCCCCTCTCGCCGACGGGAGCGGGAGTCCCCCGCTAGGAACAAGCAGGGCTGGGGAAGCCGGAACTCTACTCGCTCCCTGAGGGGCAGGAGGGTCCAGGCCACAGCCCCGCGCCGAGGTCCCGCAGCCTTGCTTCGCCCCCTTCCCCTTACCAGAGGGCGATCCTGTTCTTGGGGTAGTGCAGCCTCTCGATGCAGCCGAGGAAGTGAGGCAGTGTGTGCGCCGCGTTGCGGGCGATGATGGCCAGGAGCACGGTGGGCTTCTGCAGAGCCGACTCGGGCAGGGGCTGGGGCTCGGGCTCGGGGCTCGGTGGTGGCGGTGGCTCCGGGGGCAGGTTGGCCCCGCAGCCGCTCAGCAGCAGGAAGAGGAGGAGGAGGAGGGTGAGGAGTCGGGGGTCGAGGGGCCCGGCGCACGCAGCCATGATGGGCGCGGGGAGCAGCGCCAGCAGTGCGGGACGGCCGCGGCAGCGCGCCCAGCACCGCGGGGAGGAGGAGCAGCGCCGCCGCCTGCCCGCCCGCCCGCCCGGCCCCGCGCCCCCGAACCCGGCCCTCGTGGCCAGCACGGCCCTCCCTCCGCAGGCTGCAGGGGCGCTGAGTAGCAAGCGTGGCGCTGGGGGAGATACCGGGTGAAGAGCCTCTTCTCCCCTCTCCTCCAGACAAGCCCAGCAGGTACGCACCTGCGCAAGTTCGGTCCGGTAAAAGCTGTAAAACCTGCATTTATCAACGGAGTTTTTAGGTTGGAAGGAGCCATTTGGCAGTTCGTGCTATAGCCTACCCTCCAAGCACTGATGCTAATGCAAAGAGATCTCAGTTTGCTGCTTACGTGAAGATCTCACCCTCATCTTTTCCACCCATCAGTGATAGAAGTTTACGTTGCGCTTTTTTGTCAAAAAGTACTTTGCAAATATCCCCAGGATGACAGGGCAAAGCAGGCTCGCACACCGTAAGCATTCTACACTGCAAGGAGGGGTATGGAGGGTGCAGTTCTCCAGCTAGAATATTGCTGGAAGATTAAAACATTCCCTGTATTTCACTGACTTGTCCACTACAGGAACGTTCCCATGAATGGAGTGGCAGCAGTTAAACAACAAAATAAATAAAACATGTTACAGCAATTAAAATTATTGGGTCATGATCTTGAAAGGGGCATAGTAATCTCCGCTCTTTCAGAAGTTAATAGGATTTGGGCATGTTAAATCCTTTTCAGGATGAAATCTCTAATTAACTCTAAGGACCCCATCACCGTCTATACGGTTTTTACTGTGAGTAGGTACCTCCTGCAGCTTGCAAAGATTCACTTTAAAGCAGGCAGCAATGTTGTCTGTGTGCTTGCAAGACTCAGAGGAAACATTTAGCAAACAATTGTTTAGCAATTATCCCTGAATTCATTGTGAATTGTTTGCAGCCCAAGCAGCATATATATAGTTCATGTCTGCAGTGTTCTTTGTTTACGGAACATGATTTATCACCCACACCAAATTATATTGTCTCAGTTTCCTGACCAGATGACTCTCCACAAAACGAGTGCAAAAAGAAACCTCCCAGGAAAACAGTAAACTTCAATAAAAAGTCTACAGAGGTCAAATCATCTGCATTAAAATTTGAGAAGCTTCTGTAATTTGTAAGCATCTTCCCCAACAACTAATGAAAACACGTTCCTCCAGTTTGCCCTTCACAACACCTTTATAATTTGTCCTTCTATAATGATACATTAATGAGGCTTTTCTTTCATGGTTAATTTGCCACATGTTGCTTTTATGCTTGGATTCATTAACCAAATAGAAGGAGCAGCTTTGCAGTCTGTATGAAGTGATTAGGATTTTGCAGGAGCCAGCCGAATCCATATGCACACAATGCCACTGGCTCCCATGGGACCACTTGCATTTGGAGGATGGGGAGTAATGCTACTGAATTATGCTTGATGTGGAAGGCTGAGAGCTGTTTTTTTCCATCCACATGGATCCAGGGATGTTCCAGATGGATCACAATCCTATTTTTAGGAGGCTGCGTGGCAGCTTTAGGAGAAACAAGCACCTCCTGTAACACATCTTTGCCATGACTCCTCTGAAGGTGCAGGTGCAACAACACAGTCTGTGTACCAAGTGCTCCCCTCGCAGGTGGGGGAATGCAGGCACAGCCTTCCCCTGTAGGCCAGAGCCACCGTGGCCAAGTCAGGGTCAGGGCCAAGCACAGACTATTTCCCCCCAGAAACAAAGGAAGACGTGAGAGGCAGAGACTGCAGAGCCATGGCGCTCTCCTACGTGCAAAGCAAAGTGTAAAGGTAAAGGTGCGATACACACATTATTGCAATCAGCATGTTTGCAGAAGGTTGAGTGTGCTTTTAGCCTGTGCAGCTCTTGATGTCTTCAGTGAAATCAAAAGTATCTTCAGGTCTTTTCAGACTACTCCCTTCTTTTTTTTGTGAGCAGCACCAGAACCATAACAATTTGCTGGAGGCAAAGGCAATGCCTTCAGCAGCATCCTATAAACGGTAGTTTTCTCTTCAAAATAATGTTCCCCTTAGTCACACAACTCACTTTGCTGGCTGCTTCATATTGGTACAGAAAAGAAAAAAATCTGGTCTTACCCAGGAAAGAGAACAATAGATGCCGGAAACACGAGATGCCTCTCTATGCATAAGAGAAAGGAGACAGTTCAGCCACAGAGCATGGGTGAAAGTTAGGAAAGTTCAGGTAAACAGTTACCCTTACAAATCATGTCATTCTTATATGTATAAATGCATATATCTTTATCTGTACAAAGAAATCTATACATTTTGACTTCTTTATCAGTGGCCAAAGTTATATCCTGTACTTTTTCAAGGCAACACTCAGTCCTGCTGTGACAGGACAATTAACTACTCTGTGGTGAAATATTCTAGCTTTGAGGAAGAAACAGCTTTTTGCTGATGTCACATAGGAATAAATTTAAGCCATTTTTTTTCACCCTTCTCTAAGTATCTATGGCAAACAAGAGCAGTCCAGTTGTGAGAACTCTCTCTGGTAGTGGCATACTCCCCCTCTGTTTGGGAGAATTTGTTTGGCAGGTAACAAATTCTCAGAAGAAGGTTTCTTGTAATTTAGACTTGACTCCCATGCAGCAGAAAACAGAGGGTCCATCTTTCTGGTAAAGCATATCATATATATGGACCTACAAGAGTCTATAGACAAGACTATCTCCTTTGCTGGAATCATAGAATGGTTCGAGTTGAAAGGGACTTTAAAGATCATTTAGTTCTAAGACCCTGCCATGAGCATGGGTGAAAGTTAGGAAAGTTCAGGTAAACAGTTACCCTTACAATTCATAAACTATCCATCAGTGGCCCATCTTAGTGTAGGATATTTTGGTTCTTTAACAAGAAATTTGGCTCTTCCAGAAGGCTGACCTTTCAGCTAGGAAAGTAAGTCTTTCATGGGACAATTATGAGCATGATAAATGGGGAAATTCTCATCCACTGTGTCTGCGAAAAACAGCTCAGATGGCTGGTAACACTGCACAGACCATGGAGGCTGCCATAACGGTCAGGTAGAAGGCACTGATCAGGAACAGGGGCAAACATCTGCTTCTTCACCTCTGACGACTCAGACCTGTGCAGTTCTTTTGCAGCAGCTGAGTGAAACACTGTTGCCCACTCTTCCATGAAAGTCTCAAAGACTTTATTTATTTATTTATTTATATTTTTATTTTGTGCCCAGAGAATTGAAGTGCTGGCTACAAACCACTCACTGAATTATGTACTCAATACATAGAGATCAATTTTCATTGATGCTTTATTATATAATAATCATTAAGCCTATGAACAAGATGAGGTGAAGGCAACACTGATAACTTTTCACTAGGACCTGCATCAATCTGATCATCTCAAGATCATACTTCGTGTTTCCTCTAATCAGTGTAGCTGTTTTGCAGTTTACAGCATGAGTCAGATTTTCCTTAGGGTAGCCTGATCAAGAACAAGCACAGCATACAAGCAAGGGCTTTGGAGTCTCTCATCTGATGTTACAATATGGTCTGTTGTATATATCTGTTAAGACAGCATACAGTGTTTTGGGTTGTTGTGTTTTTTCTTGGGGGGGGGGGAGGTTGTGCATGGATGCCAGCTTGAAGCTATTCAAAATGCTGTAAAGACACGCTGACTTCATTTAAGCCAGTGTTTGAAATTTATCAAAAGAGGTGCCAAGCAGATGGAGCTGGTAAGCCAGTCCTGCAATACTGCAAACTGTATTCATGTTGGAAGTCAGAGATATTTCTCACTAAAGCAGTCCAAGATGCTGTGAGTAACAATAGCTTGAATATAAATCTCTTAACCAGTCTATAAAAGCTCTGGAAACCATGCATTAATAACATGGTTTTGGTTTTGTTTCTGTTTTACTCTTCTCCCTTCACACTTTCTCTCCAGGTATCTCTCTCTCTCTTTCCAAGGGGACTTTCACTAACGTTACATATAGGAATAATATTGCCTCCTTGCAAAATAATACCTTGTGATTAGAAAAAGGGACTGCCAAAGGCCATACTGTGATAAGGTGCCAGTCTGGCCGTAAACAGCGTTTAAATAGGGCTTAATGCAGCGCTTCTGGCCGTGGAGAAAGACTCGGCTCCGAGGATAGGGACGCAGCGGAACAAAGCGGAGACGGAACGGGAGCAGCGCAGGCTATCGGGGAGTGTAAGGCTGCGTGGCGCCGTCCGGAGCACAATTGTGGTGCACCGGGGAGAGTATGGAGCCGGCGGCCGCCTCGGCCGAGGGGAGCTGCGGCCCAGAGGGGGACACCTCCGCAGGCACGCAGGAGCCGGGGGACCAGGGCGGCTGGGCCGGGGGGGCCGGCGGCAACTGGATGGCGATTCACCCCACGGTGGGCATGTGAGCTGCGCTGGGACTGCGGAGCGCTTCGGTCCTCCATTGCCCGGGCGCCGACGGGCGGTGGGGGGCCCTCAGTCATTCAGGGTGGGCGTTCCGCTTTCCTGCCAAGGCCCGTTGCTCCAGCTCCTAATTCCCCCACCATGGCTTTGAGGGGCACCTCACGTAGGTGATGGCGGGAGGAGATTTTAATGTATGGTGTTTGGTTGTACTGGGCCTGCCGAGGGGTCTCGGCTCCCGGCCCGTGAGGCGCACTGGTGGGGTTGTTGGGGGATGCCACTTGAGGTAGAGAACGACGTTGTAAATGCTGTAACTGCAGCTGGAAAACACAACCGTCCTAAACTTTTACTGCCTGTTAATTGTTACTATACTGAACACAGCTGAAAACAGTGTTTAATTTGGCTATCATCCTATGTTGGTGTGCTGTAGCAAAAATAGGTAAAATTCATAGCCCTTCTCCACAAAGCTAGGTCTGTTCCAGAAATAGTTGTGATTCCTTATTTTTATTTGGCTAGCTTTCTTAAGAACCAAAATAGGGGGAATGTGGGAAACCCCAGCTTGTCAGAAAACAAGTCCTGCTTTTTAACTGCTGTTGTTCCTTAAAGCTGGCTTCAGATTTTGGTGCCTTAGACAGCTCTACAGATTCTGGGTTTGGACTGTGCATTCTTAATATAACTTCTGCTTTCCTTCACCAATGTTACTTTTTTGGGTTTCAGCTCACAGAAATGATGTCTCTTGATATATCTGACAGTTCTCAAATCTATGCTGCATTTGTGGTTTACCTGGACCTCTTAGAAGGTAATCCAGTGAATAATTTTTTTTTGCCTTTAGGTGTTGTAAAAGTTTGTCCACTGTCAGGACCTTTCCTACAAAGTCTTTGATATTATTTTTGAAACTTCGTGGTGATGGCAACCTAAGAAACAGTATTTTGGCACTGAAGATTTCTATTACCCATCTGGAGCCTTTAAGAAGACAAGGGCCCGTTCTCTTCCAGGGCAAAGACACTCTGAATGGAGAAAAAAAAAATAATCAAAAGAGGAGTAGGGGAAGGAAAAGGAACATGGAAAAGTGAAGTTGCAAGTTTAGTGGTTGTGCTGGTCCTTATTTTTAGATTAATGTCAAAGTTATTATACCAGCGTTTCACTAAAGGTATTGTTTTAGCAACTGGGTGTTGTATGCTGGCCTGATTATGATGCTGTTTTCTGGAGTGGGTAAGGATTCCTTTAACAATATCATTTAGAAGTCTGGTGGCAGTAATTATGACAAAGGCAGTGTAGTCTTCTGGTGTCTTGTAGGAGTGGAGCAGAGTTACTTGGTGTACAAACTTCTGCCTGCAATTCTGCCAAGTTGGCTTGTTGGAAAGGGACTATGTGTAGGCAGGCAGCCAGCCTAATAGAAATACTTTGTTTTCTTTTGGAGGCTGGTGCTTCTCAAGGTCAGGGAAGGGAGGGATTTTACAGAGCAGAAAGCACTGTCTGTTATACCACTGAAGAAAGTGCCTCAATAACCAAGAGAAGGCTCCTGTAATTCTGCAGCAAAAAAACTTTCAGACTTATCCCTTCAACCATAAAGGGAAGAACTGTGTGTTATCATTAATCATGCTTTTAGCACCTGTTCCTTCACAGTTTTAGGGTACTGATAAAGCCCAAATTTGGATTGCAGTTTTATGCTGCAGATGACTAAAAGCTGTGTGGGTTTTATCTTATTTTTGCCTTTTTGAAGCAAAGCTTTGTCAGACAGATCCCTACTCTGTAGGGTAAAAGTGTAGCTGTGGAGTAAGCAGACTAGTACTGTTCCCCTGGGTTTCTTTAACAGCATTGTGTCTCAGAAGGCAAGCTTGATGGTTCCGGAGGGTAGTTGTCTCTCATGAGAAATCTCCTGTGAGGGGAGGGAGGGAAACAGAATCCTAGATGTTAACTTAAATACCAAATTGGATATTTAAATGGTTAAAACTTGTGTTTTGTGTTTTGGTCCTGTTCACTGATGATGAACCTTTCTAGGGAGAAACTGGCATGAAGTGAATTATGTTGGAGTAGCAGAATTGCAGCTTGTATGTTTACATGCACGTGAAAAAGAACAGGACAGTCTCCAAGTGATGGTGCCCGTACCTGTGCACATATTGTTGAGCCATGAGAGGTAAGGATGTGGTCAGTGTTTGGTTCACATTATCAGTAAGGTATTTAACAGGCTGCTGATGACTTGGTCGAAAGGGGATGAGGGACAAGACAAAGGAGTGTCAGAGGAAAGCAATACCTCAGCCTGTGAGCAGTGTTGTTTTGGGTGTTGCAAGCATATATGCAAACTTGAGATTTCTTTAATTTTCTAAGCTGTGTCAGTCTCTGTTTTTCCCTCTCTGAAAGTGGTATGCCATTGATGTCAGCTTCCCACAGCAACTGACTTCTGCTGATAAACACTTTATGTTGTTTAGAAGTTGCATAGGCTTTAGGAGATAACAGTGGATGTAAGAGTATGTGTTTGAGAGACAGGGTTAGAACATATGACCTTCACAGCTTATGTTTTGAACATTCTTGTGTTGCTTTTGTGTAGTCTGGAAAAATCTAGCAATGTTTTTTTTAATGTTACTGGGCTTCAAAGTATTTAAGAAGAAAGGTCCAGGAGAATTTCTGTCTGAAAATAAGCCTTTTTTTTTTTTTTTTGAGACATTTAATCTATGGATAAGCCTGGTGTGTTTGGTTTGGTCTGCTTTTTGTTTTGAAAGTATAATTTAGCTACTTCCAACTGGAAATTCCTTTTACTTACCCAGAGTTTAATGTGTAACTGTCCCCTGAGCTATGATTTTTATACTTGCTTTCCTGACACATGCAAGACTAAGTAATTCTTAAGCAGAGGACAACTCAGCTATGACTTTGTGATATTGCAGATGTTTGCAGCCTAGAGAAATTCCACTTGAGTAATTTTACAGTATATTTTAACTGGCCCGTAGAATAGCCTCAAACACACAGTATCATTTACCCTCTGATAATGGCTGCCTTCTTTTGCTGGTATTTGCCATTCTTTCCTAGGATGTCTCTGAAGACCTCAACTATTTCAGCTGCATCATATGGTATTACATTTTTCAGTTTCCTCTGTTTCTGCTCTTGCTAGTAACATGTGCTCAGGGCTGGCTTTACAGATCTTGCTAGTGTTTGCTGTTTCCTCTTGCTGTATGGGCAGCAGCCTGACATAGTACTAGGTAGCTAATTAACTGCACTTAGCAGATGTGTGTGCACTCTAGGAATGATGTTTTAGACATGCTATGGTTTTTGCTTTTTTTTTGTCCCCCCCTTTTTTTTTTTTAAGGTTTTTAGTAGTGACAGATGAGCCTCCTGTAAACAGGCTTCCATCTTCATTCTGTTGCATTTCTTCCCTAAGTATGTATTTGTGAGGGGGAAGAAAATTTGAATACTGTATGTGCTGAAAAAATCTTTCATTTGCAAGTATTGGTCAATCACTCCTGTGGGCTTGGTCTGAAAAAGAAATACAGTGTGTCCTCCACAACGGGAAAGCTGCTGAGAAGTCTTGCAGGATAGAATGCCGAGTGCCTCTGCAAGAAGCAGATCACTGTGTGTGAAAAGGACACACTGCTATTCACAGTTCGGACTAGATTTTAGGTAGGAAAAGAAGGCATCAAATTAGGATATGAGATCTTTGAGAAACTGTGTCTATGTGCTGAGCTGCTATGCTTGTTTAATGTAAGAGGTTTTCACCGAGGTTGGAAACTTTGATTCCTGTCATTGGATCAATGCCAGCAAGTATGTTCTAGTTGGCTTTTAATGACAGTGAGAGATTGCACTGCATGTATGTCCTATCTTTTACTGTTTCATTGGAGCTTTTCATTTGGAGCCTCTGAACTTGTTTGTACTGTGGTGATACTGTTTGCTCTGCTTCTGGCACTAGTGCGGATGGAATCCATTACTGGAAGGATGTAAGTTAGAGAAGCAAAAAGTGAATGCATCACATTGACTGAAAGTACAGTTTGTGACTAGGTTTGGGTACAGAGCAACTACATAGAGCATATTGTCACTAAACAGAGCTGAATACTGGGCTGTAATGCCAGCTGAATCCATTAAAGCCTGTATGTGTTTGATAACCATAGGTGGTGTCAGACAGGAAGATTATATATGCTTATATTGTATTCTTATGCTTGTGTTATTAAACAAGCATGTGCATATGGATGCTTGGCATTTCATTAGTGCTGATGCAAAGAGGCCTGGTCTGTCCTTGTAGGAAAAGACCAGCATCAACTCCTCAGCTCCTTTGCTGGAACAGTAGACAAAAAACAGGGGGTGTAGATGGTAGCTAGCTCAAAGCTGCATAGCACAGAGGGAGGCCATTAAAAAGGCATCCTACAAAAGGAGTTGGAGGCAGTATTACAGTACTGCTGCTTCTTTGTTTTGACAGTCATGAGTGTTTTGTTGTGAATATTGATAGCAGGAGGCTTGTTAGGTATCTAATGTCTTAAATGATAACTTTCTCATTTGACTTGCTAAGCTATAGATAGACAGAAAAGCTTTTCTACTTAAGTGCTTTGCTGTTTTGTTCAAAGCAGTGCTTCAGGGTTTTGTCTTACTTGCTAAAGGTGTAGAGGAAGAGGTATGAGTACATGTGAATGCAACTCACTGTTGAAAGAAAGCCATTGACTTGGGAAGGTGAAAAAATCCTGTCCTCATTGCTAGTCCCGTAAATGTCCTAACTCCAAAAGCAGCTAGCAAATGGCAGCATTTATGGACGGCATTTCCTTGCTTAACCAGTAAGACCTGGGTCTGCAGGGGTGGTTTTCTTCTCAAAGCCACTTCAGCCAAGCTCTGCCTTCCCAGGTGTCTCATGAAGATTCCTACTTGGCTGATGCTCAGAGGATAGTGTCCTTAGAAGGCCATAGTAAAGTTGCTGTAGAAATCACTAGCAAGACACCTAAGCAAATGATAAATATGAGCACCCTAGCCTATTATAAGGTTTCATCATGTCCACTTCATGCATGACAATTAACTGCCCAAGGCAAAAGCTGTTCCGCTTACTAAGCTCACTGTCCACTTCTACAAACAGCCTGCTGAAAGTTGATCATCCTGCCCTGCCAGTGTAAGGCTGCACTGAATCACAAAATTATGGGGTCTGGAGCAAAATGACCACCAGTGTCAATGGCAGTCTCATACAGTCTGAGAAATGGCTTCATGCTGTGCATGCGTGCTCTTAGAAGGAAGATTGCTGAATCTTCTGTGAATAAAGACCTGGAGATATTTTTGAGGTGCAACTTCTGTTTATCTTGGACCACTGACAACCACACACAGCTGGCTGAGGTTTGGAGAACCTTGTGTTTGTATGCCTTTGAATTTAGAAGTGATTCATACTTGAGGAGGAATTTGTCAGTCCATTGGCTAAGACATCTTTGCTGCTAACTACTGCAGATGACACTTTAGTACACACCAAGTACCCAATTGTCAGTACATTCCAGAGTTGTAGCTCCTCAAATCTGAGGAAGCAGTTAGTCCTGCTTCAGAGCTAGTAGCATAAACATAAACTTGCATAAACGAAGCTCAGCAAGTGTAGGGGAACTTGCAGTGTTGACAGCTGGATTTTCTAGGTACTGTCGAAAGCCTTGTGGCTTTCCAGGGACCCTTCCAAGAACCAGGGACTTAGATGCTGGATCTGATGAAGTTATGTGTTGTCTGTCCTAGACAAATAACATTGTCCAAGCAAAATGCTACCAATAACAGATCAGATTAAATGCTGTGTCACTGCCCTGTTTCTATTTAGTGCAGAAGTGCTGGAAATGAAGGATAAAGTCAGTTGCATGAGGTTATGGAAACTGCAAAGTTTGGTTTAGGCTAAGAAGGAAAGGGTTATTTCATTAAAATGGTAACTTCATTTTAGAAAAAGAACACATAAATGCTTCAACTTTAAACCTGAAAAACATCCTTAGAAGCAAATCTGAGGACCAGAAGTGATTTATCCTCTTTTAAATTTGTAGTTTTTGAAACAGATCTTCCTCTAATCTGAAGTGGTTTTGCTTGTAAGAAGTACTGTTACTTTAAATGCACTGGAAGTGCGCCATGCATCATCTTCACAGTTTTGTCAATAACTCTTCTGCTGTAAGCATCACTTGAGTTTACTCATACAGCAAATCAGACATTGAAAATGCAATTAATTGGTTTTAAATGCAAACTCTTCATTAATAGTTTAAAAGTGATTGTTGTGGTTCATACAGCTGAGTTGGTTATGCAGTGTTATGATTGAACAACCTACAGCTGGTGTGTCTTGTAGAGCTTTGCTGAATTCTGATTCCTCCCTTTTGTATGCTTTGTTTTGTTCTTCAATTTCCATGGAAAAAAAATAATTTTATGTTCCTTGGGGTTTCAGTTCCTTTTCCTGACCAATGAGGCACATAGTGTAAATGGACAGCAAAGAGAAGACTTTCTCCCACCACCACGTGATTCTTCACATTGTATCTCAAGGCACTAAGTTAATATTGTTGCCTGCCCTGCGGCTAGGTCTGGAATAGTGGTGAGCCATGCTGTGCTGGTTTAATATTGTTGGCTAAATTCAAGGTATTGTGCTTTATGGGAGGTTTCTTCTGCCTTGGTCCTATTGTCATGAGGCTTATCCAGAAAAGTCAGGAACAGTGGTACACACTGATGCACAGAGTAACGATCTCTGTGTAGTGCTACAGAGACCAGCTTGTGCTAACTCTCCAGCCCTGCCTTGTATGGAGGAGAGGGAGCTGTTTGGGCTGGCCAAGCCTGCAATGAATTATTCATCCAAGTATAAAGGGCAGATTGAAAGCTGTTGGCTTTTCTGGTATGGAAGGCAGTAGTTCCATTTCAGCTTAATGAAGCTCTATGTAACCACCATAAAACATATCTGAGCGTTCCTTTTTATTGCTGCTTCTCAGAGGTGCTTGCATGGAACAAACCACTGAAATACTCTTGGTTTTCTGGTTTTGGTCTGTTGTTTTGGTTTTTTTTTTTTTTTTTTACTTTTTGGATACAAGTTAAAACCTCAAGCTACAGTTGAAGTTCACCAGTCATATACCTGTTTGTTTCTCTGGAATTAGATGTCATTTTGTTAGGAGTGGACCAGTAGGAAAGACGGTACAGATTTCTGATGTGTGTTGAAGGCCTAGGTACTTGTACAAAAGTCTTTTATGAATAAAAGAAGACGGTGAGAGATGGAAAATTCCTCTCTTGGATGGACACCTTCCACTAGACCAGGTTGCTCGAAGTCCCATCCAGCCTGGCCTTGAATACTGCCAGGGACAGGGCAGCCATAACTTCTCTGGGCAACCTGTGCCAGTGCCTCACCAGCCTCACAGTACAGAGTATCTTCCTAATATCTAGTCTAAACCTACCCTCTTTCAGTTTAAAGCCATTTTCCTTTGCATTCCTTTGAATTTCAGTGGGCCAAGAGCACTTCTTACTGCTTTCCCCCCTCCATAGACAGTAATAGATAGTCAAAAGGGTTAAAAAAAACTATACATTTCCTGTAATATTTCATCTTTCTGTTTGTGACGGGTAGCAAGTGCAGTGAAATTGGCACAAACCCAGATGTTCTCTGACTTCTCCTTTGAAATGTCTGCTGCTGCAGAGAAATTGAACATGCTGGATGCAGAGATTTAACAGTGATGCCTTCAGGGAAGGGGAGGAAACACAGGCGTCTGATACAGACTTCCTGAATTCTGAAGCTTATTCTTTTAAAAGATACCCTCTCACTAATCTGCAGATGTTCTGCACTGCATTATGGCTAGTTGTGATATGCATGAATGAGAGCTTTGTTTTGGGGCTGCCTGTGTTGAGAAAAGTGGCAAGAGGAGAAATTTGCATTTGCAGTTCTAATTCCTTATGTCAATAGAGGCTGATTCCAATTGTACAGTGGAAAGCATTGGGCTCTGTAAATAGTGGTGTTAGAAGATCATCCTGAGGCAATGGGCTAAGTCTTTGTGCTCTTTATATGAACCCTGAAACTCGGTATCCTGAAAAGTAAGTTAAGCATGTGAAGAAATGTCAATTTGTTGTCAGGATGTGGCCGGTTTTGGGATCATGGTATATCTTCTAAGTCTGAATGCTTAATGGGGGGAAATAAAGGTTCAGATATCTGTGCTTGGCAGTGCAAGAAGAAATTATGGGTGGTGAGAAATCTAGAACTAAGACCTCACTATAACATCTATCCCACTGATAGACTAGGAGGAGAAATGGTGACAGTTACTAAAGAAAATAGGAAGGAGCTTCTGCCCTGGCTGACAGGTGAATAAAGGCCACTGACTGAGTCTGCTTCCAGATACAGGACTGTCCACATTCAAAATGAGTTTGGTTTCTCTGGGTCTCAAAATAATCTCTCCTGGGTAGCTGTGCCCTTTTATTTGCCTTTTTATTGTTAGTTCTAATTTGCATTCCCAGGAGAGAAGTTAATATCTACTGCTTCATAAAAGCCATGTATAGTTCTTTCGTCAGAGTCTCTGCCAGTAGCAGTATGAGTCTCTTGCAGGTGTCTCTTTTCTGTTGGTGGCCAACACAGTATCTCTTTATTTGTTCTCTTGTTATGGATGTGCTTGTGGTTGGAGAACCAGAGTGTGGCTTTTCACAGCCTTAGTATCTGTTGCATGAAATAACTAATTATGTTGTATTGCCTTGCTTGCGTTATATATGGGCCAGTGGTGAAAGCAAAAGAAAAGGCACTTCTGAATTTAGCCAAGCTGAGTTATGAACAGTTCAGAACACAGATGGATACTTAAGAGGGTCATGGGCTTAATAGCGTAGTCTTTCCAGGCTGCTGCTTATTCTCTGCCACTTTTCATTTGGCTTTTATTAAGGGATCAGAGAAGTTTCAAAGGAAGATAATGATTGAAAACTGGTGCATTTAGAAAGAGCCTTATTTTCAGCTACAGTGCCCAGCTTTAAAAATGCATGTTTTATGGTGAGTGAGATCTTAGGGGCACATGAAGTGAGTGGCAATTTCTATTTTAATTTCCCCCATATACACTGCATAGCTGACCTCTCCCCAGACTGTAAACTGTCCTGGCAGTCTCAGATGAGCCCTCTTGCACCTGATCTTGAGTGCAAGTAGAAAGCTCCCTGTGGATATGCTTGCGATGGGGAGTGTTACTGTTTTGCCTCTGGACACTGTGCTCCTGCAGTACTTGACCAAACAGTAGACTCTGGGAAGAAGCGTTGTTCTCAGCTCTGTACTGAAAAGTAACTGACATGTTATTCTTAAAATAAGCTGAACAGGAAAAATGCTTAACTTTGTCTTGAATTTTTAAGGATGACATTATTTATGTGACTGTTTTGAAGAAGTCTTGTGGCTTCTAGTCTAGACAGGGAGGTAGAGAAACCTGGCTTCAGTTCCTGGGTCTTCCACAATCTGGCACAGAAGTGTAGCACAGACTGGAAGACTTACCTCTGCAAATGGAACAAGTCTTAATTATTTTGTCCTCTAACTGAACGCCATGTGTTAGTCAACTAGATTTTTTTTTTAACTCTTTTTTTTTTTAATCTAATGAGAACAAGGCCATTAGTGATTGCCCTGCTTTGATTGTGGTAGTTGAAGGATGGTTGAGGCATGTGCACAACAGTATGCCTAAGCAAAGCTTAGAAGCATGTGTTGAGCCATTTCCAGCAGAGGTGTATGTAACCGAGTACATTTTTATAAGATTATTTGTAATTTGGTTTTGTTGCTTGATTATACAACTTTGGATTTTTATTAGCATAGATATTATACTTCCTTTTGTGAAGACAAATTTGCAGAATAAACCCAAGCTGAATAAAAATAGCAGTAGTGCACTTCTACTATTGTGCCCTCCTTGGGTGGTTGTGGGCTCCTTTCTAACTGATTGTTTCTTCTTCTAGGATGAGAGAGATCATGAAAAAAGCATCACTCCCACAGGATGATCCTGACACCCCGCTGTCAGTTACTTTGGCCATAGTTGAGTCAGATTCCACAGTAGTCTACTATAAAATGACTGATGGCTTTGTGCTACCAGATCCTCCTGACGATACTGAAGATACAGACAATAAACAGTGGAGAAAGAAAAGAAAGCTTTTGAAGTGATTAAGACAAACAGTTTTCTTGAGCTACTGTCCTCAAACATAAACAAATCCAGGAACTTATGTACATAAATATGTTGTGTGCTAAAGTCTGCCTTCTGCATGTCAAGCATCTTTTCAGGGAGAACGGAGGCTTGTGCAGCTGTACTGTACTGAAATGCCATTTAAAGTATAAAATGGGTCACGCTTTGTGACAAATATACTTGTGAGATGTTTCCAAAGCTAGTCTCTTCTTTGTGTCTGGTCAGGTACATAACGGAATAAACATATCCTTACCTATATTGTAAGTATTTGTTAAAGGTAAATCTTAAGGGGTTCCTGGTGGAAATACTGATACCAAGTTAAGGGCATTGTAGTTTACATAGTGTCTTTGTCTTAACACTGTCAGAAGCACTCATGCTACCTCCCAGCTTACATTTCTGAACACTTAACTTTCTTTGCTTTTGGAGAAAAGACTCTTCCACAGAAATACCTTATTTTAAAACTTTCTCTGCAAAGGGAAAATATATAGCAATAAGAGAGGCTACTAGAACAAAGCATAGACTAGTAAAAGAGGGGTCCCTGGATCTGCCTGAAGTACCTATGAGCAGAGGCCAGCCCTTTGCATGGTGGTAGGTTATGACTAGATCAGCCACACCTCGGAGTGCTGACCCAGGGTAGTGTTACCCATGTAGCTGGATGCATACCACGATAAAGGTCATGATCCAGAAGCACCATTAAGAACCTGTTTCACATACAGTGTTGGACAATTGTCTAAGAACCAAAAGCACAGTGTGTTCACATCCCAGTGTGATGAAGTTTTCTAAATGGTGACCTGTCCTCTGGGATTTCCTGTCTGAAATACCTTCAGTATGCTTTTAGTGCTTCACTGTGGTGTTAGTGCTTAAACCTCTCTGAAGAGGAGCATGACAATGGGGCTTGTTTTTATCTGTTGCCAAAGTATGTCATCATCTGCGCTATGTGGGAACACTAGTTACCTGCTTCATGTAGCAGCAGGTTTCTGAACCCATTGTAATTTCTAAGATTTCTTTTTTTTTCCTTAATTATTTTTTTCTTAGACATAGTTTGTGCACATTAAACTGGCTACCCAAGAGGTGCTTCAGCTAGGAGTTAATAGGTTTGAAGTTTCTTCTACAGGATTTTTCCATGTCTTTCACAGAAGTCTTCAGGTTAAACTTAGAATTCCTTGGCAATCAAATAGTATCCCAGAAGCTGCTTCTTGAGTACAAAAATGTCTGTGTGACATCTGTGTGGCCAAGGACCACGCATTCAAAATTTGAAGAGCAAGAGCGGGAGAGAATCCAGAAATCCAAGCTGGAAATGAAAGACTATTTAAGCTTCACTATCCCTGTGGCTGGAGAGGATGTTTTTATGGTTGCAAAGTTTGAACCTAATCTGGTCAAAATCACTGGGAGGCAGAATGGTACAGAGCAAAAGTCAAGGGCAGGAAGGCCCTTGCACCCTATGTGATGTTAGGCATTGTTCTTGGACACCGATTCTCTGAGTGCTTGCAGGTCGGGGCAAGGAAGGCAACTGCTTTTCTGACTTGTTCAGACTTCAGTCCTCTCAACACACCCATCCCTCCCACCTTTGGCAACAGACTTGGAGGAGAAGGGTGCACTTTTATCCAGACCTCTGCATGGCACCTATGGGCAAAGAGGAAAGCATTTTTATGAGCTTCACCATTAGCACTGTTTCCTGCTGGAGAGAACCATGCTGACTTGGGAAACGTTAGTCTATGAGGAATAGGCTCTTGTGCATGTCCAGGTGCTTTGCAAAGCCTATCTCAGCCTCACTAATCTGGGAAGCTACTCAGCATGTGAGCAACTCCCTGATACTGTCCCTTGCACCAGTGCTATTCATTTTCATCTTTTTATTGGTAGCATTTCTTACTGTTGCACATTATGACAGTACCGTTTCTTATAACTAACTCCTCATATGTGAGCTGTAGTTCACTGAGGTGAGAGCTCCAGCAGCTAATACCAGCTCAGAGAGGTTTGCTTCTGGCAGATTTTGTTCTCAGCTGTTAACTTGATCCTGCATAGACTGAGCTTGGATGGATTATAACTATGGATGTGTACCCTGATCTGTTAGAGTAACTGGACAAGCCATATGTGAGGCTGTGTGTGTTGTGATGCAAGCAGAAACAAAATGGTTGCTTTTTTCCCATACAGCAAGAGGAGACAGCGGGTCTGTGGCCTTCAGTCATGGAGAAAGGCAAAGAAAAATTCCCTTTCTCAGTCTTACTCCCCTCATGGAAGAAAATCTTAATTTTATTTTGGTCCAGTGCCATGCTGCCTTAAAAAGGTACCTGTGTACTCCTGACATGCTGTGTTTGACCTTAACCTCAATATTTCATGTACTCTACTGTTTGTTCCATAAAGTAAATCTTACGCTTTGCTAGTCTGCATACCACCAGGTAAATTGTCCTTGTTATAAGCTGTTAAGTACTTCAGCATGAGTGTGAGTATGTGCTGTAAAAGAGCTGGTTTTGTGTGAAGAAGAGTGTAACAAATGCTACAAGTTGCAGAATTTATATTTAAGCGACACATGCTTAACCCCAAAAGGAAATTCTTTTGCATTTCTGGGAAATACTGCCATTTTGCAGTTTTCTGCATGACTGATGCTTGACTTTTTCCTTAATTTTAGTATTTCTGTACACAGAAAGAGGATCATAACTTAAGCCTCCTTTTCTGTACACTGAAAACTGCTTACCTAGTCTTCAGAACCTGACTTGGAAAATCTCTGTCTGGAGGCTTTGATTTCTGCCATGTGCTGAGAAATGATTATATAGGCCTTTTTCCAGCCTCCTTAGATAGTGGTGGCTCTTCATTTCTGAGGAAAAAAAAAGGAATAATAATAAATAATATCATTGCACAGTTTGTCCCGTATGTATTGCAATGTAAACAAGGGGATGTTAAATAAATTCAGAGCCAGCTGTGCTGTTCCTTTACATTCCACTGCAATATTTCTCTGTGTCAAGTCAACAGCACACAGACCAGAGCCTCTCTTGTTACAAGCACTGAATAAAGATGGGAAGAGACTTCCCTTAGTAGTGTATCACTTCATAGCAGTAGCACATTAACATTTCTAAGTCCATAGTACCTTGGTGCTGTGCCTAAAGTATTCAAACGTTACTCTGCTTTAAGTCTTTGTGAGACATCTGTGGAAACATGAGCTATAACATCTGGCCTTGACACCTTTGCAAATTCATCTCTTTATTTCAGGCCAGAAGATTTTACAGGCTACATCTTGCCATCTTTAAAGTTTCTTTTTTCAAGATTTATTTGCCAAGCACAGCTTGATTTGTTTTACTGATCACCCTTGACCAACAGAAGGTATATTTTAAAATTTTAAGAGTATCATTTTCTGAGAAATTATTGTTTGAAGTCTTCTCTCTTTGGAAGGATATTTGCATTGAAGCTTCCCCACTGAGTAAAGAATGATAGAAAAACAAAATGATGTTTTTGCATGGATTTGATGGTGAGACTTGATGCCCAGTTATGTAAGTGAGCATCCCCTTTGGTTTATACAAGCTGTTGTTACTTTGAGGCATTACTGGCACTGTAATGCCTCAGGTACCCAAATTGTCCTGTATTCAGCCTGACTGTTTGCAATGCACAGAGAACATTTTATGTGAAAAAACACAAGTCAAGAATGAGGAAGCCTTATTACATTCATAAAGATGAGCTGTGGTTGCAAGAAGTGGCCAAGAAACCTGCACTGCAGCAGACAGTTGCTGAAAGCAAGCAACTACCACAACCTTCCCTTTCTCCATGATGCATAAGCAGAAGCATGTGTGTGTGTGTTTGGGCAGCAGGCTCCTCCTGTTGGAGTCACCTGCACCTCTGTGGCTGTGCATGTGCTGTCTGTAAGCTCAGTGTGCAGCAGCTGGACAAGTAAAGGATGCCAGAGCCTTGGCACATGATCTGTTCCTGCTTAACAGGGCATGCCTGTGTGACGGTGATGTGGTTGCAGGTAACAGTTGCCCAGCAAGCAGTGGCCAGATGAAGTGTGTTGCTTGAAAGCCCTGCCCTAAACAGGAACCTGTCCCCTACAAAATGGCCCTCAGCATCCCTACAAAACAGTTCTGGTTTTCAGAAATCACTAGAACAAAGACATGGTCTCCTCTTGTAGCCCATTCTCAAGCTGGGCAACATTTTCCACGGGATCTTGGACACAACATTACAATATCAATAACAGTACTAAGGTCAAGTGATCATAATCTTTTTTTTTTCTTTTTTTCTGGGTCAGAAAACCAACAAAGCTTTTTTTGTTTAATTTAAACAATTTTTTTTTCTAGTGAGTCCATATGAATTTATTAATCACCCTACTAGTATTGCAGGTCCATAGGAATTAGATGTTTAATAGGTTGGCCCAGTAGTTCTCAGGAATGTAAACTCCATCAACTAGCCTGTAAGTCCTGCTTTGTATAAATGGGCTTACTGTTAATCTCCTCTAGTCCTCCAGGGATGTTTCAGCCCTCCACTATAACCCAATAGTTTAAAACTTCCTTAAGTTATTAGCCAAAGCAAAGAAATTGAGATAAATTTGGGCTGTACTAACTGAACATTCCCAAACTGAGTAGCCTTTCACCTCTACTTTTGTTATTCCTGCTACTTTAATTTTAATCATCCTGCCAGAAAATCACACTTTGCAAGGCTGAAGCTATTGTTGATCACTTCAGCACTCTCCATTCCTCCCATTAAGAGATGTGTGCTTTTCTAAATCACCATCCTGGTTTGCTTTTTCAGCAGTTTTCTTACTGGCTCTTGTATCACTGTGTCATTACTTGGCACACCCTGATTTTGCAGGACTGAGAGGAACTTGGTATCACACTGGTACAGATCCTGCCTCAGCAGCCCCAGCTTCAGCAGATACCCAGCAGGCAAAGCAACACTGACCAGGATTGCATAGGATTTCTCATTATTTGAACCAACAGCAAATCACCATGCTGGCAAGTAACCCCTATGCAGAAATGAAGATAATTATGAGCAACCAGGGTTTCCTAACTCGACCAAAATAGCTGCAGCTGCACCTCATATTTCAGAGTATCCTGGGAGTCAATCACTTTTCCATTTTCTTCCCTCATTTCTCAGATACTACCACTTTGATGGCATGGTGCGCCTGAGAAACCCCAGACTCAGCCACTTAACCTTCAGGAAACCTGACTGACAGCCTGTTTGCTGGGGTGAATTAATGAGTGCTCCAAATC